TGTTCATCTTCACTAATTATGATTGATGCGCTACAATTCTCTTTACGTTATACTTTCACGGCTTCTTGTTATTGAGTAATGAGCACCTGGTTGGATAACTTTATCTAACAGATTGCATAAAATAGTCACGTTTTCTGGAAAAATAATCGTATAATTTGAAGTAAAAAAAACTTCTTTTTAAATATTTTCAAATCAAAGGAGGTTCTCTATTTGTTGGTACTTTTTCTGTAAATCTTATTATTTTTGTATTGGACTATACTTGTTTACTCTCTTGTTGATCCTACAAAATTTTTGTCACGATTAAAGTTACCGTTTTATCGATGGAACAAAATTTTATACCACTAATTTTAAAAACTCATTTAAAAAATAACTAATAATGATTAATCAAATGCAAGTATTATAAAAAAAACTGTTATTTATCGATTTATAAAGTATATAAATATTTTATCCCTATCGAATTGTTAATTGCACATAATTAAATAAAAATGGCTGTGTTCTGTCTTGGCTCTCAAAATATTGTGTAATTTGCATTGTGCATCATATTTACGTCTAGACGAGAATGACGTAATCGGAAAAAAAAGATAAAACTAAAGATTTGTTATCTTTTTTTGGTTGTCAAATCTCAGCTGATGGACCAGTATTAAAACCAGTTGCAACGCTGCAGGCGAATTAGACCGCGAACTATGCATTAGTTTCAGCTGTCAAGGCCACTGTGTCGATGACCAGGGCGGGGCTCCTAAACCAACATCTCCTTAAGTGGCACTTGTGAATTAATCACCGTGCACACCAGATGCACTTTCAATCTTGTTCCACCTGCTTCGTTTGTACGAGTGTTCAATCATGAATCACTCCTAATCAGTATTTGTCTTGTTTCGATCTTGTTTTTGACGTTCAGTTGCTTCCTAGTGTCACTTTGTTTTTTTTTTTTATGGCTTTGTTTATATTTGATTGCATGATATTTTTAACAGACTTCAAAAATATTTTACTTCATTTGTTTTTTTGCAAATCCCATATACCATCTGTACTAACGGTTTGATTTGGTTCTGTTATTATCAAGGTCATCATGTGATGGTAGGGTCTTTGGAGATTGTTAGTTTCCGCTTTTTAATTTATGGTCCGTTTACTTTCTACAAATTAATCTCGCAAAAGAGAAGTTTTTCTAGATCTGGATTTATGGTAAAATTTTTTTGATAATGTAAATTATTTTATGGAGCTTTTTACTATATAGATGGAATAATAACTGGACCATCACTTTAGAATTGGCCTTTTCTTTTTGTTTATGTAATGTTATTGGTTTTTGCAATGCAATATCATTTTTGGTTTATATTTTTCACGTAATTTTATTTTCATTCATTGGCCCTGATAATAATAAACAGCTGGTCGGATAAACAGACACGCGGTGTTTATTTTATGCATAGGTACATTAATTTTGTTTTATTTTTACATTGTCATTTTTTCATCCCGTATTCTTTCAAGCGACAGTGAATATAGCTTTATTTTATAAATGAATTGTAATGCATCGTAACGGTTCGTGTAAACCATATCTCGTAGTGTAAATTTAAATCGTTCTTTTATCAATAATATTTATTGTGAGTGCGCTTAAATTTAAACATTCTTGTTTGTATTTCTTATGTTTTCTCTTGACGTAGGCGTCACAACCCAAATCTGTTCCCACTTGAATAACATTGCAGTAAAATGTGTCCAAATGTCGAGACGTGTCCTTTTGTTGTTCTTACCCTTAACTTTAATAATGTTCTGTTGTATGTTTGGTAACTACCAATATTTTTCACCCACGCTGCCAAATTCTATGCCACAATAAAAGGATTATTATATTATCAGTTCGAAAATTCATATATGGTAATGGCTGCCCACGTAATGTCTCACGAGATTCGCGTCGGTTTACGAAGGTGTTATTCATCTAGATTACTTAGGAGACGCAATAAAAGCGGGTTCACGGACTTGAAATTGCCACGCGCTCACCAGAATTGTGCACTTTTTGCAGTAAATTTACTTAGAACATAACCTGACGTCTGTTAGTGCGAACCATCGCATTTATTTCGTCAACGTAATGTTATTTTAGACGGCAATAAACAAAATAAATGCACGTTTTATGTCTTCATAAATAATTGTTCATGTCAAAAGTCCTCGTGTAAATTGCAGCTCACAGATTGTGCACATAACAAAGATGTTAAAGTGAATACACGCGCTACATTTCAACTACAGCCTATAGATGATTCAGTCGTAAAAATGGCTGTCACCCGTCGAAAAAGGAATCTTTAATGCTTGATCTGTGACTGGGCAACAAATTGATCGTTAATCGACTTCAGTTTGTACGTTGACATTGCTCTTTTCACAAATTTTGCGGTTTTATATACGACATACGACATTATTTACATAGTAATGTCGTTTTTTATAGGAATAATTATACTTTTGTAATGTTTTTTTTAATATCACAAAGGTGGCAAACAAGCATATAGCCCGTCTAATGGTAAACGGTCACTGTACCCTATAGACGCCTGCAGCACTAGGGGTTTCACGTGCGTGTTGCCGTCCGTGAAAAAACCTTAATATACCCTTTTTGAAGAACCCCATAGTGTAGTCTGTAGGGAAAACATAAAAAAAGGCAGGTAGCTAATTCCACAGCCTGAGTGTCCGCGGGAGAAAATGTCGAACTTTATAGAAATATTCGCACTCCTACTAAAAATTTTAATTTAGAAAGTTTGCAAAATTGTTTGTACGTTTGTTAATCAGGCACTCTTAAACAGCTGAACATATTTGATTAACACATTAGGATACTTTTTGTCTAAATCACATGAACAAAGAAATGGGATGCAACTATTATCACATATTTAGGCATATTTATAACCACGGCAGAAACTTTTGGTGGATTAGCTCCCACTTTTATTTATATTGTGATGATTAAATTATCCATTTTACAATAATTATTATAACGCGAATGAATACTAGTAATATTTTAGGGTGTGAGATATAGTTTGTTTTTTTTTTTTTATAACTCGATGGTAAGTGACTAATGCAGCAAAAGAGTATCCGCAACACCGGAAAAATTACAGGTGTGCTGTCGGCTTTTTAAAAAGGAATAAGCTCTATTCTTGAAAGTTTGTTTGTTATCTTATAGCAACTTAATGGCTTAATTAATTACTGTGAAATTTGGTAATTTATAAATGATATTAGAGCGCACGAGCATATAGTTGAGATTTTTAAACCACTTTTTGTATAGCCATGTTGCATTTGCTGCTCAAGGTACATATTGGGTTTCATGAAGTCACGATAAGCACGAATATTCTAATCACTCATGAGAACTATATGTTCATATGATATTTCATGAAATCTCTAATATTTTTATTATTTACCTGTTTCATAATATAGTGGATAATTTGGATTATATCATCGTCTTTCTTTTTTTCATTAAAAGTATCCTTTTTCAGAGCTAATAATTCATACATTCTCTTCCAGCCAGCTCTATTACAGCTTGTATCTTTGATTTCCCTATATGACATGGCACCTAGTGTTTCCTTTGTCTGTCGCATGTAGTTATTTCTCGGTCTTCACCTTCCTCTTTTGCCCTCTATTTTTCTTTTTAGTATGCTCTTTAAAAATCCTCATGGCATATAAGGTAGCCATTTTGCCTCCTCTATTCTCTATTGTTTATATATCATATATCGTAGCGAGGTCCAAATGTAGCCAACTAGTGTTACATATTTCTTTGGAACAGCCTCGTCATTCTGCATTCTAATGAACTAATTTAACGGTAGCCGCCTATAATGTATATCTATTTTAATTTCGGTTGTCAATAAATCTAATCAAAGTGCGCTGTATAGAATTTGTTGTGATGATTAATTGAAAGTGTTTTGTAAAAAAGTCGCTGACAAATCGAGTCGCTATCAAGTGTACACGTACGTGTAGTGTTTAGGTATTTTTTCAGTTGTTTTTTCCCATGTGTTTAGCACAAAAGGCTGCGGGTAATCGAACCTTTCAAGGATTTTGTTGTTCTGCTTCAGGGATTTTAAGAGATTTCCGTTATTACTTAAAAGTGGATTGTTTAAAATAAGAACATGAATTAAAATTAAGAATCTTTATTTTTACTATACAAATACAGTTTCGAAACTCTTAGAATAAGGTGCGAAATTTTAGTTTGATAACATTTGTTGTTCTTTTTTCTCTTAAATTTAAATTTTTATTTAATCCTTATTAACTACTTAGTACTTGTATTGTGTATGAAGCAATTGTTTGCCTGAACGGTGTTTTCAAAATTTTCATTACATTTTGGCAATACTTATGTACAATACTGTTTACGGCCATTATATAACAATTAATTATTTTAACGTGCGTTCGTTAAAAAATATTAGATACACTTTGTTATTAGTTTTTGCTTCGTCTAAATTTTCTTTATTACTCTTCACTTATTTGTCTGTTCTGTTGCCATTGGCGAGCATAATGACTGTATGATCATTTATAACTTTAACACCGTCCATATTTTTCTTTAGTGCCTTGAGTAATGTGTTCATTTTTCTTCATGCGTTTTGTATTTTTGTACATTCGCTTTGTTTGGAAATCCGTTATTCATTTGTTGAATTGGCTCAATTGACTTTTTTTTGTAAGTTATAAGAAAACTTCTGCTATTGTTGCGGTCTTGAGTATAATGACTTTTTTTGTTACTTCTGTAATGAGATTGTTATGATGTACTTAATAAAGAGTTGCGACTATGTCATGTATTTGTCACGTAACGTTCTAAACATTGGATCTTTGTAGTATTTACTAAGAATAATACGAGACTTTATATAAAAAATATATATTATAGTAGAGAATTTATATCTGGAACTCACGCCCCGTGTCGGGAGTTTCATAATTTTTATAGTATTTCGATAACACATAATTTTATATATTACTGATACTACAAATCTTTATTTCAAATGTATATGAATGATTAAAAAAATATGCAATGTGAAACTCGAATTTGAATTTCGTATTTTTTTTTTCAGGAGAACATAGATCCTTCGCCATACAGCCTCTCACCGGTGTCGGCGAAGTCACAAAAGCTGCTGCGGTCGCCACGCAAGGCCACTAGGAAGATATCGAGGATTCCCTTCAAGGTTTTGGATGCGCCGGAGTTGCAGGACGACTTCTACCTGAACCTTGTCGACTGGTCGGCGCAGAACGTGCTCAGTGTCGGTCTAGGCAGCTGCGTATACCTATGGAGTGCTTGTACTAGTCAAGTACGTATTCTTTTCTTCAAAAATACTTTTTATCGACTATTCCCATTTTATGAAGACTCGTAGAAAACAATAAATTCGTAGAAGATATAAATGTCTTGTAAATGTGAATTTCCAAAATTTTTAATTTTCAATTGATTTTGTAAGGATTTGTAATAAATAAGCTAAAATATATAAAATATCTTGTCGGTCCCGGCATAGAATCGGCTACCACTTCCTTTCTCGTGGGTGTCGTAAGATGCGATTAAGGGAGCTTATGGTGGAAGGATGGGCAGCAGCGTCCCTCTTGATACATCTGTAAAACCCTAACTGCGGTTGCCAACCCGCCTGCCAAGCGTGGCAACTATTGGAAAATCTCCCCTTATGGGGAAGGCTTATGTTCAGTAGTGAAGAGTTAAGGGCTGAAATAATAAGTTAAAATATCAGAACTAACATGGAAGTAAATTTTTTCGATTAAATAAATATTTATCAAAATTGGTTCACAATTAACTATTATGTAGAGTAACAGTCTCTGTTATTCGATATAGTTGAATTGACATACTCTTTTATCTTTGAGTTTGGTTACAAACTAGTTTTACGATTGACGATTTGGACAATCGAATCATTAGACACCCGCCTCGAATTCTCAACCACTACACATGAAAATCTCCAGAGGGAGACTTTGTACAAAAGTCGATTGCTTGGGTACCTCTGTCCCATTCGTGTTTCTACCGTAAAGCAGTTGTTTGTATAGCTGTTGCATTTCGGTTTGAAGGGTGGGATGGCAACGCACGGGGGGTATCATGGGCGAAACAGTATAATCTGTTATGTCAATGGTACTGCTCATGTCTATAGGCGACGGTTACCACTTTCATCAGGTGGGCCGTCGGCTTGTTTGCCATTCTAAGTTGTATAAAAAAAAAACTTCAGGTAACGAGACTGTGCGACTTGTCATCGGAAGGGAATACTGTGACGTCAGTGGCGTGGAGCGAGCGTGGCCACCAGGTGGCGGTGGGTACGCAGAAGGGACACATAAGTGTATGGGACGTCACCGTCAATAAGGAAGTGAGTATTTAATGTAGATGTAGTTTTTTTTTAAAGAAATGGTAACCCTGTCAGCGTTATCGGTATAGGCTGGCGAGGCACCAGTAAAGGATAATAGGTGGAGATAAAGCAGGTCAGTTGGCCCATCGTGATGATTTCATAAAAAAATAACCACGATGATTTCCAGGGGCACCGCGTGGAAGTCGACCTGTTAAGGTGTATATTGCTAGTAATGGACCTGTTAAAATTCATTACTTCCTATCTTTTACCCCTCAAAACTAAGTGTGTTCGACTAGATGTAGTAACTCATATGAAAAAACGAGACGACAGACATGTTATTTCGTTTTATCTTATAGATATTTCTTTTTTGTTATAAGTGGTATATTAATTTTTAGATAAGTACGTGCTTTTTCGATAGTTGCCTATGCATAAGATAGAACTAGATGGCACGACCAGTGGTCGATTGTTTTACATGCGTGCGATAACGAAAACGTGTCTGCTGATTTGGATTTCAGCTGAATGTAGTCGGTCGCAGAAGTTAGTGTACTAATTACGCAAAAAACTTGTCACAGGTGACAAAACTACAAGGTCACATAGCCCGTGTGGGTGCTCTGGCGTGGAACGGCGACGTACTGAGTTCCGGCTCAAGGGATAGGCACATACGGCAGAGAGATACTAGGTGTCCGCGTAAGTATTATATTTAATAGCTTGTTATTCTTCTCTATAGCAATATAAAGAGGAAAGATTTGATCGTTTGTTTGCTTGTAATGGATGGACTCCGTGCCGTGTGGTCCCGGTATAGTTGGGCCACTTTCTTTCCCGTGAGAAAGGAACTTAATAGTCGAGAAATGAGCAACAGCAACCTTTTAAAACATCACCAAAGCCTAACTGCTGTTTTCAATTCGCCTGTCAAGCGTAGTAACTGCTGACAAAACCCCCACTTATGAGATATAGAGGGAGGCCTACATTCAGCAGTGGACAGAAGTTTGTGAGTTTATCCATTCATCATTATTGGTAGTATGATTTGAAAATAAAACAGTAATATTTAAAAACTATTTCATCTATAATAAGTAATTATCAGCGATTAACGGGTCGGCAACGCGCGTTTAAAGACCCTTGGTATTGCAAGCGTTCATAGGCTACGGTAACCGCTTACCATTACGTGGGCCGTATGCTTATTTGCCACCTCAATGGTATAAAAAAAAAGATAAAAGAGAAATTTCCAAATCGGTTTATGACGGAGTTATGATGTATCAAACATAAAAAATAGAATCATATTGAGAAGCTCATTCTTTTTCAAGTCGATTGCAAACAGCACAAATTTTATTTTATTTAACTTAGAATGGCAAACAAGCTGACGGCTCACCTTATGGAAAGTGGTAACCGTCGCCTATAGACATGAGCAGTACCATGTACATAAGACGGTATACTGTTTCACCCATGATACCCCCATGCGTTGCCATTTCTGAGCACTCGGGAAAATTATAAACATAACGTAACATAAGAACGAATAAATAAACATTTCATTATTTGTGAATTTGAATATTTACAAGTTTTAATACATTGAATTACAGCTCAACAGTCAGGCCGTGTGCTGCAGGGGCACAGACAAGAGGTGTGCGGCCTCAAGTGGTCGCCGGATGGCCAGTCGCTGGCTTCCGGCGGCAACGACAATAAACTATTCGTGTGGTCTATGGTTAGTTACACTACTAGTGTAGTAATATATCTTTGGTCGTACCGTCTATTGTAAAATTGTGTCAATGTATGTCCATGAGTGCGTGCGTGCGTACGTGCGTGCGTGCGTACGTGCGTGCGTGCGTGGGCGTGTACTGTTACAACCTATATGTGATTAGATATTATTCTCGATTTGCAATATAATTTATTTTCATTTAAATCGGCAATATTGTGCTTATATAAACTATATTAACCGCTTAATGCCAGGGTTTTCTGTGAAATGAGGTCAACTGGCGCACTGGCGCACGCACTAAATTCAAACGAGCATACAATAAATATACACTGAGTTCTATGAAATATTATATAAACGGGCGAGAAGGTATCGCTCCAGATAAAAATATAAACATAATATTTATAAGTGGCGATACTTGGGTAGAGGTACTTGGGATAGCGCAAATTGGTACACATTTGATGCGCGTGAGGGTCTTATTCGAGATGCTTAAGTGGTTAAATCCTACTGTGCCCCACAAACAGTGCGTGATTGCACGCTTACGTGCGTGTATACTTTTGCGTGCGTTTTTCATAGATTCAAAACTAGTGCTCGATAACTTTTTTCTCTTGACTAGCAACATTACCGATAACTGTCTCTCACAGTTGCAGTAATAACTGTTTTTAATTTATTTTATACATAAATATTCCTATTTAGATATTGTTATTAGTAAGTTATTAGTGTAATAAGTGCTGATTATTTTTTATGTTTAGTTTAATTCAATAGGTTTCAATATTAATTAAAACGTGTTTACATGGAAACATCAATTTTACTAACGTTTTGTGTGCTTATTTTGCGATTTTCTATAACAAAGCCCTTGAATTTTTTTTAATTGTATCTGGGTTTAAAATAACAAACAATTTTTCTAACAAGTGTAATAAATGTATAGATTATATACGATAACATGGCACGCCCCATTAAAATGCAAAGAATTCAAAGTGTGTAAATAAAAATATTCACAAGATTTCGACCAAGGAATATAATACTCTTCTGGCCAGACTGCTGAAGATGTTTCCTCACAAACAAACAGAGCACCACTTCTCTGTATGGTCATACACATTGAAGTAAAAAGTTGGAAGGGCGTGCCATGTTAAAGTTGATAACCTCGATCTAACTGCCCCTCCTCCTCCCCCTGTCCCGCAGCACTCGACGTCCCCGGTGCAGACGTACTCGGCGCACGTGGCAGCGGTAAAGGCGATCGCGTGGTCGCCCCACCAGCACGGGCTGCTGGCGTCCGGCGGTGGCACGGCCGACCGCTGCATACGCTTCTGGAACACGCTCACGTCGCAGCCCATGCAGTGCGTCGACACCGGTATGTATATACATACATATATATACTAATACCTTCTTTAAAGGAAAATTTCTTGAGTAGCGACTCCGCAAAGGCGAACGCAATGAAGGACGAGGTCGTCCTAGATGGAGTGACGGCTTTAAATGCTTTACAGCCGCTCAGTGGATGCAGATGACTCAGGATCGTTATTACTGGGCCAATATGATAGATCCATATTTAAAAATTTTTTATCTAGTATTATTTTTTGTATATCAGTAAAGAAAAACAGCTACTCGGTTTTCTCTGCCTATACCTTGCATTAGTTGAGTCTCCCATCCGAGAAATAGGTATTGGCGACCCGCACGCATGCCAAAGATAAAGGAATTAAGGGGCCGCCTGAAAATCAGCGCTATATAGGTACATCTCGCTGAAGCTGTACATATATAGCAACAGCTGAGGCGGCTCCTATTACCAACAAAATTCATTGTTTTTTTTTTTCTTATTATTGTTGATTTTTTTAAATATTATTACTGGTAATAAACATTATCTATGTATCTATCTATCTATCTCATTAATATAGATAATTTGTTGTAAGCATTCATTATCATATCGGTCGTTAACTGTCCTTTGTTGAACAAAACGGGTTTTGCCAATACCACGCTTGGCGAGCGGTTTGGTAACCGTAGTTAGGCTGTGGTGATGTTTTAGGAAGGGCGTTCCCGCTACCCATCCCTCGAAGTTAATCTTCTATGCCGGGATCACATGGCCTATTCTATGCCGTGGGTGCCGTAAAAGGCAATTAAGAGAGGGCGAGGAATGGGTAGCAGGGTCCCTCATAAAATAAGTCCCCAAAGGAAGCCTTATGTCCAGCAGTGAACAGAGTTAAAGGCTGATATGAAGACGGTGAAGATTAATAAATCTAATTGTAATTTTTTTCTTTTCAGGATCTCAAGTGTGCAATTTAGCGTGGTCGAAACATTCTAGCGAACTCGTATCCACTCACGGCTATTCGCAAAATCAAATATTAGTGTGGAAGTATCCATCGTTGACACAAGTGAGTTGTTAATGTAATATTTATTGTCTTCGTAGCTTCGTTTTCGATGTACAACACCAGAGGGGAGACTTTGTGTAAAAGTCGATTGCTTGGGTACCTTTGTCCCATTCGTGTTTCAACCGTAAAGCAGTTGTGTTTGCATGGCTGTGTTTCGGTTTGAAGGGTGGGATATGGCGTGAATTTACTGGGTACGGAGGAATAACACCTGAGTCCTCAGGAATGGCAACGCATGGGGGTATCATGGGCGAAACTGTATACTCTGTTATGTCCATGGTACTGCTCATGTCTATAGGCGACGGTTACCACTTTCCATCAGGTGGGCCGTCAGCTTATTTGCCATTCTAAGTTGAATAAAAAAAAAGAAATTTTTGTTTTGAGTTTCTGCCATAAAGCAGTTGTGCTTGTATCGCTGTATTTCAGCTTGAAGAGTTGGATATACTAGTGTAATTACAGGGTATAACCACATAACATCTCAGTCCGGGGGTAAAGGATTGTTAGGAATGTGGTCTAATAGCCCCATTGCTAGCAACATACTCTTTCAGGCCCATCTTCATGCGGTTTTCCTTTGAAAATAATCTTGGTTAATTCTTGTGAAATTTGTCATGAAGGCGTAACTGACCTGCTTTCATCCTCATCAATCATCTTTAACTGGTACGTCGCCACCGTATACCGATAGCAAAGGCGGTCCTACCATTCCATCGGCATTCTTTAAATACTGTAGTCCTCAGGAATGGTGACTCATGAGGGGTTCTGTGGCGACGGTTATCACTTTATTACAAGGGCTGTCTGTTAGCTATTCTAAATTGCATAAAATGGATTAAGATATATATAAGTTTATTTTATTGAATAATAAATATTGTGAATGACAGTGTATTACAATTATTTTTGAGTATATATAATTGAGTAAGGCCAACATAAATAATTTCAATTGAGATTTATTTAATTGTTCACAGGTGGCAAAGTTAACGGGCCATTCGTACAGAGTTCTATACCTGGCTCTCTCGCCCGACGGCGAGGCCATAGTAACGGGTGCTGGCGACGAAACGCTGCGTTTCTGGAACGTCTTCTCAAAAACACCATCGCATAAAGAGAACAAGAGCGTTCTCAATTTATACACAGCGCTTAGATAAAGCAGTATTATAATATAGATAATAAATAAGTGCTTTTATGAATTACCGCAATACGGTATGATATCGTACGATTATATTGTCACGATATAATAAGTGAAAAATATATATGATTACATGAATATAGCATGTATATATGTATTTAATTATCTACATGCAATTACATATATTTTACATTCATTAAATCGTCACTATAAATTTGTATGATATCGTTAGATTATAGTGTCACGGTATAATAAGAGAATAATGTATGTGATTGTATTGAAATGTTCTAAAATTCAAATCGTCTTAATACTTATACAAACATATTCTCTATATGCTCTCACATTATATCGTGACGATAAAATCCTACGATATCGATACGATACGATAATTTACAAAAGCGCCCAATATGTGTTTTCTGTGTATTATATTTGCATTTATAGTGATTATTTAGTTGTATGACAGATGACTATGAAATCTATAAGTAGACGTATGAACTACGCCTACAGTGATAACAGATTAATCATGTTACGGGACTGATTTAGTTGTTGATTTTGAATTGAACACGAGTCAAAATTATATTTAATTTATTATAAAGTGTGTAAATGATATTGATTGTGATAAAATGCAAGCTTTATTGTTGTGACGACTGTGAGGAAACTAAATCGAGGGCTTTTCGTTAACTAGAATGTTTAAAAATGTATCTAATATTTTGTACAGATGTAAAACATAAATTTTAGCTATTCATGTATTTTTTGTCTTTTTCATTTAGCTTCTATTTGAAAGAGAGGGGCAAAAAAAAACTGGTAATAGTTAAAACTGATTATAATTTTTATAACATTCATTTGTATGTTTTTGTGTGCAAATTAAGCTGTATGCTACATTCCCTGTCATTTCTTGTAATGTGCTACAATGAATGCGTAAGAAATGTAATTTACCTTTAATATGGAACAGCTATATGTCAGTTATATTTTTGGTGTTGCACTACTTTCAATGTGAAATGATTTTTTTTGTAATTTTTTGTTTTTTAATAACAAATGTTTTTTTTTTTTTAAATATAATTACCACTGGTTTAACTAACGTGTAATTAGATCGAAAAAGCTCGACTAGTTTCAGTATCAATTCGTGATCCTTAATCATTAGCGACTTTGACGCGAGCTTGGCCCTGACTTATTTTCATTACAGTCGTCCAATAAAAAAACACCCCATCAAATTCATACACACTTCAAATTATGCTTTTGTAATAATGTACATAAGTTTGTGTATACTTATATATATATATAATTTGGGAATGTTAACATTTATGTATTGGTTACGATGAGTTTAGTTTTGATAAACGAGTTTATTTTGAAATTTACCAATCAAACAACTATTAATTTGGATACAATATATTAATACTTTTTTGTCTATTTCAGCCATTATTATGTGTAAATTGTAATATTTGAGAGGAATATATATCTTGTCTATGCTGTGTAATTCTCTTAGATGTTATTATTGTAACAAATTTGTCGGGGACCCTACGTTGTGTAGGTAAAGAATCTAATCACTTTCAGGCGATTCCATAGATTTGGTTGTAAGTATGCGTATACCGTAATTTTCTTGCTTTTTGAATTTAGATAATATAGTTTTTTTTTTATTGTTGTCTTTTTTTTTGAGGCATATGCAGAGATTTGAAAGTATTTATATTTCTGTATATATAAGTATAACATGTCATGTCTGTAACTTTAGCTTCAGTAATCTCTTATTTAAACTTGTAACTTGTATAAACAATGAAAAGCAAGGAAGTTAGGTACCGTCAGATGTTTATATGAATTATTTTTGTATAGTCATCAATTATAATAGAATAATAAATAAATATATGTGTGATGCTGCCTCACAGTTAATGTAAATGCACAATTTACAATAAATGCTTATCGTTAGTAAAACAAATATCTCTTGCAAATTTCTTGCAAACTTGCAATTCCACTTGTAAACTGTAATATTCCATTTCTGTTCTATTTTAAATGTTGTATAATTTCTAAGATAATATCATCATATCATGGAGTTTTGCCAGTTGTTGCCACGCTTGGCAGGCGGATTGGCAACTGCAGTAAGTCTTTGAAGATATAAGAGGAACGTTGCTGCCCATTTCTCGATCATTAAGCTCCCTTAGATGCCTCATATGAAATCGACGGAAAAGAAAGGGGTGGCCCATTCTATGCCGGGACCACCCGGTGATATACTTTGTTAACATTATAACTTGTGATTTTTCAACTTCACTGTTTTTTTTTTTAATTTGAATATTTTTACATATGTACCCTCAGTCTACGTAAAATCGAATAGAAATTTACAAATAATTTTTATAATAATATTTTAGAACATATTGTAGCAATTTAATAAATATATATTTTTTTATTGCACTTGAAAAAAAAAAAGATACAGCGATTAATTTAACAAATTGTTAACAGGGGCGGGCTTGTCTCTGTAACAGATATTTTATAGCCAACCCAATGCAGTTAGAGAGAAAATAATTAGTGGGTAATCTTGTGCAGGATTTAATAATGTATTCAAAAGTAAAAACGAAGCGAGCAAGTATGATTTGGTATATTAAATTCTACATAATGTATTAAAATATTGAATTGATTTCGAATGCGGTGTGTAAGCTTAAATATGCCTTAAGAATCTCTTAAAGTGACTCTTAGTTAGCAAATAAAGAAAGTTTGCGTTGCATTGTCTGGCAATGAATTTACTGGGTAAGGAGGAATAACATCTAAGTCCTCAAGAATGGCAACGCATGGGGGGTATCATGGGCGAAACAGTATAAAAATAGTAATGTATAAAAAAAAAACAAACTTTGTAAACTTCATCATGATTATTTCAGCCACTATCCGTCCACTACTGGACATAGGCCTCCCCTATAGACAGTCATAAGGAACGGTCCTGAGCCACCTGTACTCACTGCCTTGACTTTGTAAATTTATTTGTATTTATATCTCATATTGCATAGATTATAAATGTTAAATTATACACCTTTAAAATGAACAGAAATCACAATAAATACTTAATGATGAGGCGCGCTCACATAGTTTAAATGTGTGTTGTATATTTGTATGAGTTATTGTGTGTATATTTTTGAATTGTGCAATTTAGTTTTTCTAAGTGTTTACGTATTTTCTAATCGTGAACGATTCGATGATCGATTGTTTATAAACATCGCATTTGAATCGAGTCGACACAAAAGAAAATAATGTATTGGCTTATAGAAACGAGTAATATTAAACGAAACCAAATACTAATAAGGTTATTGTTTGGATAAAAATATTTTTGGTGTTCAAAACGCTATATATATGTTTTTAGTACACGTTGTAGGATTTTCGTGTTATTCTATATTTAAATAAAAGCATCTAACTAAAAACAGAAAAAATAGACTTTGTATTAGAAGTAATATAGTAATATATAATTTTAGTAATGCAGGCTACGATAACCGCTTACCATTAGGTGGGCCGTATGCTTGTTTACCATCCCAGTGGTAGAAAAATATATTTTAATATATTACTTGAAACTTTTTTATTTATAGGTAGGCGCTGATAATTTTTGGTACTCTCTGTGAAACTTTGAATTCATAGTAAATCTATATTTGTATTTTTTAAAACATTACTTATTCCTTTTTAATTTATTTTGCATTCTTTTACATTATTACTATTCAGTGTCGTTATCCTATTATCAATAAAGAAAGGTATTAAAAATGAAAAAAAAAAACCAAAAATTAATGCCTTGAGGTGGTGAAAATATATATCTGGTTGATTATAAATCTTGAACTAATACGAAAGCTTGCAACGTGTTAAAAAAAAGTTTGGCTTTGAAATTATTTATAAAATAAAACTTAATTTATAATATATATTTCTTTAAAAATTTGTAAGACTAAAAATTTGTGAAGGGTTGATCGCTGTTAAAGTTCCTTTAATATAATCTAATAATACTTAGTATCTATTTCTCATCTTATTCTGCCCCTAATTTAGCATATATCTATTAACCAGCGACTGACTCTTACGTAGAGTAAATGTATCGAGATATATTTATTTAAATATAGGAAGAGATATAATATATTTTATTGCACATTTGTTAATATAGTTTAGAGTACATTTCTTTAATTATACTTCTAATTAACCACCGACTCTGCTACCAACCCACGTTCGAAATATAAAAATAAAGTTATTTTAGTAGTAACGAATAACAGATAAAGCAAAGGTACAAATCCATTCAGCTTAAGCTTACGGATATGTATTTTTTTTTTTATAAATCTCCTTGACAATTGCACATAAAGTGACCAATGAGTGAGAAACAAGCCAATGTGTGCTTTTGTCGATGAGTCCAAATACATACAATAGAATAATATGTAATTAGACTCGTAAGAAAGTATTGTAATAAATCTATTTATAGTAAGTACTTAATTTGCCAAAATTATTAATGTTTATTTTTTTTTTAAGAAGATTGGGTTGAAGTTTGAGTTGGTAGTGATATAAAATAAATTTTCTATGTGTGATGTATATATCAGAGTTTTATTTCTAGAATTTATTATTCACTTTTTTTTATACAACTTAGAATGGCAAACAAGCTGACGGCCCACCTGATGGAAAGTGGTAACCGTCGCCTATAGACATGAGCAGTACTATGGACATAACAGAGTATACTATTTCGCCCATGATACCCCCCATGCGTTGTCATTCCTGAGGAATCAGGTTTTATTACTCTGTACCTTGTAAATTCACGCCATATCCCACCCTTCAAACCGAAACAGCCATGCAAACACAACTACTTCATGGTAGAAACACGAATGGGACAGAGGTACCCAAGCAAACGACTTTTGTACAAAGTCTTCCTCTGGTAACTGACCCACGACTTCGTCCACGTGTCCAGAATATATTCACAGACCGGGATAAAAACTATAACTGTGTGCATCATCTCGTACAGTATGTCTATATCAAGTTTCATAGCGATTGTTTAAGCAGAAGAGGTAACAAACAAACAAGCTCACTTTTACATTTATAATATTAGTAAAGATATGGTACAAACATGGAAGTATACTGCGGTTTCAAAGGAGTTTTTTCCCACGATCGTTCGAGCTAGCTTCCTGTCGAGATTTTCCATGAGACTACAGTATGGGGGTTTTTAAAAAGGATGTAAGTATCGTCATGTCATCTTATTAATTTTTCTTCAGAGTCGACAAAGCGCACGTGATACTCATAGTGTTGCAGGCGTCCACATTTTGCAGTAATCGTTTACCATCACAAGGGCTGTATGCGTGTTTGCTGTTTGTGGTATAAAAAAAAAACAAGAAAAGCCCATTTTGTAATTCGCAAATTTATTTTTATTATTTATTATTTCAAAACGAAATTATATGTCTTTTATATGATGTAGTCTGCACTTTATCAAGTAAATTTCAAATGTTCAATTGAAGAACATACCTTATGAGTGCATTATACTTTATCTATGTTTATTATAATACTTTTTTAAATGTAAACCAGTATTAAGTTTTGCTTAAATTTTAGGTAAATATGAGTTTTTTTTTTAAATAAAACAATATATTAATTTCAGCGATTTATTTCTAAATAAAAACCGAATTAGTAATTTTTTATTATTGTGCCAAAATAAATGGATTCAATTTTGTTTCCAATAGTAAATATCAATTTTCAATAACATAATTTTTATTTAACAAGGAGGATATTTAAAAAGCTTCCTGAATACCAGGCCCATTTGTGGCAGAATGTTTATAAATTTGTTTGGATAGTCTTTCAACAACAAACGGATCATGCCGTTTGAGTCTGCAGCTTGCTGCAAAACAATGCTGTTCTGAAGGTAGAATCCACTAAGTGGCTCCATTTCGAGGATAAGTGCCGCGGGCACGGCGTACCTTTTAGGGTTGTCGTGTACCAGTAACTCAACTAAGTAATTGCAGTCATTCGTACGAGCACCAGTTTGTTTTTTGCATACCGAATCCACAAGGTCTCTGAACTGAAAAAAAAAGTAGGTACCATTAGAGTTTAATAAAAAGGTAACTTAGTTTTGTTGAAATTATCATAGAGATAGACTCTTTGAAAGAAATTTATAATAAATCAAAACTATCTATTATTTTTATTATCAGACCGGCAGGATATTAGCAGGACGTGTTATGATCGGGTCAATTATTCGTTTGTAGAACATAATGAAAATATTCATTGGGTTTAGTTGAAACAGACTATACTCCTAGTATTCGTGTGAAGGAATCAATCCTTTGGTATCAAAAGTTTCCTGCCGCATTCGCTATATATTAATATATATATATATATATATATATATATATATATATATATATATATATATTATTAATAAAAACTGAAACGTCTCATAAATCTATTAGGCTATATTGTTACTGTCTTTCATATTGATAAATTAGCGGAAAGGAAAAGAAAAAACACTTTAGCAGCTAAAATAGGTATAGCTAAGCAAGTGACAGTAATTTTTTAATAATCCAAATAATTATATATATTATTATATTCAGAGGTTTAGTCGGAGATTCGATGTTGGGAACTCCGGATCGCAGTCAAGTACGTCCGTTTAAGTATACTTAAACAATACTATTAACATGATACAAAAAAATTGATGCTTACATCATCAGTTTTTTCATGAACCACGTCTAAGAATTTCTTCATGTTCTTGGACACTTGTACAGGATTATTCCAAGATATAGGCACTGCTTTTTCAACAGACTTGTAGTATTCCGCGGTCACGTTCCTAAAATAAAACATTCGGAAATATTATATGTATCTATTTTTTTTTTCTTTTTTTATAATAATTTTGACAGGACTTTATCGAAGTAACAGAGAAATATCATCATTATAAATTATATCAGCCGTTAATTGTTCACTGCTTAACATAGGTTTCCCCAATAAGGGAGGTTTTGTTTTTCCAGTAGTTGCTGGGTTGGCAACCACAATTAAGTTTTGGTGATGTTTTATGACTAATCCCTTGACCTTTAAGATCTATTGGTAGCCTCTTACGACACCCACGGAAAAGAAAGGAATGGCCCACTGAATGCCAGGACTACATGGCATAACAGCTTTGGCACATAATAAATTACCGAAATAAAAATATTAATGGATTAGGACTTTTTAAATTTTAATTTATTTTCAAATGAATTTCATCAGACGGATAATTCATACCATACAAGAACTTTGGCGGTGGAGTCGCAAACGTGGTATGAAGTGAGGACCTTATTCAAAGCCTTTTTTTATGTAAATGTTAACAACTTACCGAGTACACTTCGCTGCTACCGATTTAGCTGCATCGTCCATTACGCCTACTAGCAGAGCATATTGGCGGTGACTATGGTACACGGGCAGTTTTACATTAGTCCTAAAATAAAGCAATTGTATTAGGCGTGACTTGAAAATGTAAATATATTTCAAAAGTTTTACATTAGAGTTTAAAGTTTAGACTAGAAACCATAGTAATATCATATAGAGAAAAAATTTGATTTATTTACACTTTATTGCATCAATTAAAAATAATAAATGCAGTAAATTTTAATGAGAAGTGATACAAAAGGCGGCCATATCGCTAAACAATGTCTTCCAAACAATCTTTAGGTAGAGCACATTGAAAAAAAAAAATGTTTATTTGTAAAGAATAAATTCAAAAACTACTCAACTGATTTTAAAAATTCTTTCAGCTATAGAAAACTACATAATCAGGGAGTAACATAGGTTATACATTATTTTCGAAAATTCTATCTTCTCGTGCGAAACCAGGTCGGATTACTAGTAAGATATAAAATTGACGTTACTGGTGCGCCTCCAGCAATCTTTCGGCCTTCCTGACCAAGTTCAACGCTTGGAAGTACTGCGGTGGTCGTTTAGGCGACGGTTTTAGTCCCATATCGTCAAATGCCAACGCAGCGGCGCATATGAAGAGAAGCAACACGGGACTATACATGACTACTTGATGATGATGAACTGAAATACAAAACATTTATTATACATATTACTGTTTTTTATGGGTAAAAATTTAATGGTAACCCGTCCTGTGCTATTGGTATATGCTGGCGGGGCACCAGTTAGGAATAACAGGTGAGGAGGAAACCAAGTCAGTTAGTGGCGGGTAGGTTGGCTACCGAGGATAGATTTTGGTGATGTTTTAAGAGGGACTTTTTGTTCGTCTGTCGATTATTAAGTTCCCTTAGTCACCTCTTACGACGCCCACGGGAAAGGAAGGAGGGGTCTATTGTAGGCCAGGACCACACAGTGAATGAGATATCAGCCAACAAATATCTACGGGTACAACTCAGGACGCCTAGGCACGAGCCAATTTAGAAAAAATCGTATTCTAAATTAATCCGACGGAAAATCAAACCCGGGACCTCATTACGAAATGCAATATGCGTATAGCACGGAGGTCGTCATTGATCTTAATTGACAAAATTCTGGTGAAAGACGAGTTTTCCTGGATTCGTGGAGACATTAGATTCATACATTTCCAATGTTTGAATTTAGAATGCAGAATTGGCTTCACAACAATCAGGATTTTGCCTTCCATAGAACAGTTAAGGTTTCAAACGTTACAAATTGGGAAATCCGGGATTAACATGAAAGTAAACCCATCCAATTACAAGGAGATTTATAAAAAAAATATACAGTCAACTTCACTACGGACATTAAAGACTTTCTTCTTTAGGGAATCAGTTGAAAATACAGTCAAATTGTGAACCTTTTCCTTTTATAAGTGGATTGAGATTAATATTCTGAATTACAGGTATATTATATTATAAAATTTATAAAAAAGTCATCGACTTTGTTAAAAAATCTGTTAAAATGAGAACGACTGAATTAAAATATAATTCTCAAAATCGACTCAGAATTAGTTCCTTTTTTTAAAGTTAAGTACCTAAATTTAAAAAAATATTACCAGAGGGAGACTTTGTACAAAATTCGATTGCTTGGGTACCTCTGTCCCATTCGTGTTTCTACCGTGAAGCAGTTGTGTTTGCATGGCTGTGTTTCGGTATGAAGGGTTGGATATGGCGTGAATTTACAGGGTACAGAGGAATAACATCTCAGTCCTCAGGAATAGCAACGCATAGGGGGTATCATGGGCGAAACAGTATACTCTGTTATGTCCATGGCACTGCTCATGTTTATAGGCGACGGTTACCACTTTCCATCAGGTGGGCCGTCAGCTTGTTTGCCATTCTAAGTTGTATATAAAAAAAAATTATAGTTAAAAATATATTGATATTAAAAGAAAAATATGTCAATTTAAATATGTTATAAACTCACCAATCCTCCAAGTACTGATGGAGAGTTGCTTGAATATTATTTATATATTACAATTTAATTTGATATAGTTTCGGTGCATTCAGATTGCAGAAGCTTGTAACTTTTGGTATACCTAAATGTGTTTTTTTTTATGCAACTTAGAATGGCAAACAAGCTGACGGCCCACCTGATGGAAAGTGGTAACCGTCGCCAATAGATATGAGCAGTACCATGGACATAACAGAGTATACTGTTTCGCCCATGATACCCCCCGTGCGTTGCCATTCCTGAGGACTCAGATATTATTCTTCTGTACCCTGTAAATTGTATATATGTGTAAATCTTGTGCCAATATATTGTATAATCATGTATTATTAATTAGTAAATATGTTGCCACTTCAAAATATTCAATTTGACATTTGGTTTTTGTTTATGTTCATAGCACAATTAAATTAATTTTGTATTCCAGATTTTGATGAATAGTGTAAACAGTATTTATTTAGGAAAACTAAACTAAAACATTTCAAACAAAATAAAAATTTTTGTATTTTGTTTTTTGATTCTGAAGATACAACTACAGTGAAGGCATCGTGGGCTAGGTATAGGCTTTCAGTTTGAATGTGGTCATATACAGAGGAATAACATCTGAGTCCTTAGGAATGGCAATGCATGGGGGGTATAATGGGCGAAACAGTATACTTTATTATGTCCATGGTACTGCTCATGTCTATAGGCGACGGTTATCACTTTCCATCCGGTGAGCCGTCAGCTTGTTTACCATTCTAAGTCGTATATTATATATATATATATATATATATATATATATATATATATATATATATATATATATATATATATATATATATATATAAATAATTGATAACACAGTTATAAACTAAATTATTCTAATGATGGTAGACCCACTCGCTGCTACCATTTCGATTTGAATTCCTATAAAAAAAGGCCGACAACATACCCGCAATTCCTGTAATGTCGTGTTAGGTGAGCACTATGTTTATTTAAAATATAGGCCCGGCCGGAAGGAAAGAATTATTACTTACAGGGATGGTAGCTCCTTACGGTCCTTCCAGGAAACCGTTGCGATCAATTTAACATGACAAATTATCTTATCCTATCTTATACTTACCTTTGAATAACTGGTACATTACGCGATTTTTTTTATACCTCTTAGAATGGCAAAGAAGCTGACGGCCCACCTGATGGAAAGTGGTAACCGTCTCCTATAGACATGAGCAGTACCAAGGACATAACAGAGTATACTGTTTCGTCCATGATACCCCCCATGCGTTGCCATTCCTGAGGACTCAGGTGTTATTCCTCCGTACCCAGTAAATTCACGCCATATCCCACCCTTCAAACCGAAACACAGCTATGCAAACACAACTGCTTTACAGTTGAAACACGAATGGGACAGAGTCCTAGAGCAATCGACTTTTGTACAAAGTCTCCCTCTAGTAAATTATTTATTGATTTGGTTTAATATTCATTTTAAAGTTATCAATATATGACCAATAAAAATAATTTTCCTTTGCATCATTACTTCCATAACAAATTATGAATCTTAGGTATACCATTTACTATCACTATAAAATTTTTCATTATCAAAATGGTATAATTTTTTACATCGATTAGTGCCATATAATTTGAAATGTAAATTATGAACGCTATGCATAACTAACTCTATGTATTTATTTAGTATTATACAAACGAATTGCTTGATTTTACATTTTACAATATACTAGGCCGCAGGGTCTATTTTAGTGGACTTGATCCCCTCCCCCTGTCCATAATAACAAAATAAAGATCACCACCTTTAAAACTGTTGACAGCGGATTTTCTGATTGACGACAAAAAAAGGCTATTTGCGATCAGCGTTTTCTCGAAAATTCTTTTTTATTAACCTAATCGAGTCTCCGTTGGCCCGTTGTACCTCTCGGCACCCCTTTCGGCCCTTGGTGTCTGCTTGGATTTTGGTGACATTGGTCACTCCTATCCTCTTTGCTCAATCAGCCCTTCCTCAGGCCGGTACAAATTCGACTGTTATATATTTTATTGGTGACCTATGGTTTATTTTATTTATTTATTAAATACAAGAAATTTACAACAGCGAGTACATTGGAGCCCGCACTAGGCGAACCTGTATCGCGGGAGTCCATAAGAGATTACCAAGACACGGTGATTTACAAATATAAATTAAATTATATTATTATATACAAATATGAAATAAAATAAATTATATTATGGTATAGTTATTGTTTGCTTCAACATGTCTAAATCTCATTTTTATATTTAGTTCAATTAATTATAATCTATTTCTAATGAACAGGATCTCTGTTTCTTATAGTCTATGTCCTGTTAAAAAATGTAACGAGGATTGTCTACGATTCGACTCTCATCCGATCGCGTTTGAACAAGCAAGCGTGTCTCTGCGATTATTTCAGTAATTCAGTAAATTATAAAATTAATGCATTTGGATATTGTAAATGTCAATGTGTTACAAGAAATAAATGAGAAAGCGAATTTAGTAATCTTTAATTTTATTTCGCTAGCCATCAAACCGCGTGTGTTCACGGTCAGTATTATTTGTATATTTAATTTTTTTATTTTATTTATTTATGGCAACAAACATGCATTTAAAAAATAATTAACGACAATATACATTACAGTTTTAGAACAATAGACCTAACAGTGTCAATAACAGTATTTTAAAAACATAGAGATATTATTTATGAAGTCCCATGGAAACACGCATGTTTAGCGACATTACAAGGTACTAATATATATAGGTAAGTATCAAAGATGAAGAAAAAGAAAGAAAATGCGCCGATTTAATTTCAACATACAAGTTTTTGAGTTAATTTACTTTTAAAAATATGAACAGATACATAAAACGGATCTAATTAAAAAAATCTCTATTGAAAGTGTTGGTGGAATGGTGAAGAAAAGAATTACATGTATAGTTTTTACGTAAACGAGGGGGAACAAACAGAGCTAATTTACCTAAGGAGCGTGCGGGGAAACGAATATAAGCAGCAAATGTTATTTTACTTAGGATTGTAGGGGAATCAATTAGATTATTTAAAATCTTATAACATATATACATAACATCAAACATTTTACGTTCATTGTAAAGGGACAATAAGGGACAGTATACCAGTTATATATTATTCCTTTGTATGATAGTAACAGAGTTGGAATATATTATGTTACCACTTTTTCACCACCAGCATTACTAAATTAACAAAACAGTAAAAAATACTACTCAACTGAAAAGATAATTTATAGAAGTTAGTAAAGAAATCAGAATATAATAGCTGTTTCCTAGAATAATAAGTCGTACGTTATGTCAAAACTAGTGTAATAATATCTGAAATAGGCGAAGATAAAGGGACAGATATAATTCTATAACGGATTGTGTTAGGGAGGAAAGGGATTGTTAGTAATGGAGACTGAGAATCCCATTGCTAGCAATATACCCAACCAGGTCGACCTCCTCGCGGTTCTATCATGGTTAATTCCTGATGAATTCACCATGATGGGCTAACTGACCTGTTTTCATTCTCATCTATCACCCTTCACTGGTGCTCCGCCAGCGTATCCCGTTAGCGCAGGCGGGGTTACCATACCATTTTCACCCATCAAAAAAAAAAACGGATTGTGTTCTGAAGAACTCTATGATATGATGCCTACTGCCACCCTTTACCATCGCTCCAACATCGCATACTCCATCAATTATAAACTAATTTGGAAAATTCTTTTTTTATTTGAAAGTATATACTTACAGATTGGACTCATAGACATTTTACCAAAATCGGTTAAATAGTTTAGTTTTTAAATCAAAATAATTGAATATAATTGAAGTCGTTTGTGTGGGACATAATATTTAATTATTCTTTTATATAAGCTTTGTCTAGATAACTACAAACAATAAAAATGGATAAGCCGAATAGGCGCAGTCGTTCTGAAGTAATGTGCTTATATAACTTATAATACGTTTATAATGTGTAAACGAGTATTGACGTGTGTTCCCGGCATAGAATGGGCCACCCCCTCCTTTCCCGTTGGTTCCGTAAGAGGCGACTAAGGGAGGGCGAGGAATGGGCAGCAGCGTCCCTCTTAAAACGTCACCAAAGCCTAACTGCGGTCGTCAACCCGTCAAAGTACTGACAAAACGGGAGGTTTAGGGGAGGCCTATGTTCAGCAGTGGACGGTTAACGGCTGATACGAAACGAGTATTATCCGAAAAATAAATTCACTCTCGAAATATGTCGTCTATACAAGGAAATTGAGATTTTTTTGCGTCTTTTAAATGAGTATTCTGATAGTGAAATTGAATGTTTTCCCCGAAGAAAAATGGATTGAAACGTAGCATAGAATTGATTTCTTGGTAATCTACTTATCAGTGTATCAACATTGGGTCCTTTGTAGGGTACGAGCGATAATTCTACTAACAATATAAATATAAAAGTTAATCAATATATTTAAAGGTTTAATATTTAGTTTTTTTCTTGTACCTACCACAAGGATGGTATGTATTTTGTATATTATTTTATGTATGTATGTAAACGCAGTGTAGGACGATCCCCCTACATAGCACGATAGTTTCCAGGGAGACCACACGGAGGTCGACCTAACAGGATTATTGCTAGCAATGGGACTAGTAGCCCGTATTACTAACAATCCCTTCCCCCCACTCGTAGTCGTATTTTTTTTATGGGTGAAAATGGTATGGTAACCCCGCCTGCGCTAACGGGATACGCTGGCGGAGCACCAGTGAAGGGTGATAGATGAGAATGAAAACAGGCCAGTTAGCCCATCATGATGAATTCATCTGGAATTTACCATGATAGTTTCCAGGGGGAACCGCGTGGAGGTAGGGGAGGCTGGAGTAGAAGCAGTGGACGGACAATGGTTGAAATGATGATGATTATGTATTTTATATATTTATTTATATAACATATACTATTATAAATACTTAGATGTAAGGCGTGCACGGCGTATGTTTTATTAATATGAGTGTTTTTCTTTTTTTCTTCATTAGTTACTTATCTAGCTTCAAATAACTACTGTTTTTTTTTTCTTTTCCCCTCTATCCAAAGGTTGTCTGGAAAAAATGTTTTATATGTACTTCATAAGTACAATATATATTTATTTTTGTATAATTTTTTAGTGATGCAATAAAGGGTAAATAATTATATTTACCCTTTATTATTTATTTGTGTACTTATTAAAGTACACAATATTGATAGGTTAGGTTTAGATTAAATGATACAAATGGTATACTTCATTTTAAGCAGTTATAATTCAAATAAAATCATTTAGTTTAATTTCATGTAGATATGGATGCCGGCAGTTTAGAATAAAAGACAATAACACGTTTTAAATGACGATCTTGCGAGCGTTTTTATCTTTTTAAGAGTGTAAATGTAATAAATTATAGACATCGGTCAGTTTAGGAAGTACGTTCACAAATTCTTTTTTATATCCAGACAAGAGTAGGGGAACGATGCTATGATTTTTTGCGGCACGCTCGAAAGCTGCATTGCTGTTCAAATAGAAGTCGGAGAGTGGCCCGAGGGTCAGCACAATTTTTGCGGCTGTATTATATCTCTTAGAGTGTTCTTTAACGATTAAATCAACCAAGTAGTTGCAATCACTGGTGCGCACCTTGGATTTGTCGTTACACACGGAGTCTATCAAATCTCTTATCTGAAAATATAATTAGTCATAAATAACTTAATAATCTGTTTTAACATAAATTTATGAAAATGTAAACAAACTAATATGTATTCCCTCCCAGAGGGGGAGGAAGATGGGGGGAAAACGCCAATGGAAATCAAGATATTCTATATTCATTTCACCATTTTCATAAAAAAAAATACCTATGGAAATTCATCCTTACACGCTTACTCCACATTACTAACTTGCCAGCGTTTACCAATATAATACTGCACTATTTTCACTAAAGAGTTTTCTCTTATCGGTGCAACTAATTCGTGTATTCTCTTCCAGCCAGCTCTATCTTATGCCATATCTTTTACCTCCCTATACGACACGATACCTAGTGTTTCCTTTATCTGTCCCATCTAGATATTTCTCGGTCTTCCCCTTCCTCGTTTGCTCTCTATCTTTCCTTCTACTATGCTTTTTAAAAAATATAATCCTTGTAGATAATGTACATATAATTGGCAGTATAGTGCAGTATAGTGCTCTCTCTCTTCTCTCTTCCCTCCGATATATAAATACTTACGTCATTGGTTCGTGCCAGCAGTAGAGACAACTCTTCCTTTATTATCTTGGTGACATTTACAGGGTCACTCCAGGCGTGGGGCACTTCTCTATCAACGGCCGTGAGGTATACTTCATCGTAATTACTGAAATAAAGATATAAATGAGTGCCAGCACCGTCCTTTTTTATAGAAAGAAGCTAGCCAAGTTTTTTTTTAGTGGGTGATAATGGAATGGTAAACACACTAAACTACTAAGGCAAGTTTGATAAAATTCCTAAGGGACGAATCTGTAAATAAATTCTTTTATAAAAAAAAAACAAGAATTTTTAAATCGGTTTATAAAAGACGTAGTTACAAAGTAAAACACATGGAAACAAAAAATTGTATTTGGCTACTTACACAGGCTTTTTGGTGTTGGAAGCAAGTTTGGCCGCGTACTGGAGTACACCAAGCATCATTGCATAATGACGTTCGCTATGGGTCACTGGCATTTTTTTATTGGTCCTTAAATAAAAAATAAATAAAACTATATTAAATAACTTGATGTGTTATTATGTAGTTTTGTACCACAAAGGTATTGCGTAGACGTTGTGTCTGTTTGCGTCTTTTATCGCATATATCTGGGGAAGTGTTCTGAAGAATTATTCAGATTAATATCAGAAGCAAGTGAAAGTTTTATCCCGACCATCTGGATGAGTGACGGTCCTCCATCGTGCGCTTCTGCAGACGTTTTCTCGGAATCAATTCCCAACAGCAGTAGTTCAGAACACATACGATATTGAATCTTTCAAGAAAAGAGCATATTACTTCTTCTCATATATGTTTTATATTATATACTTATCTAACACTAATATTTGTCTTATTGGAGTTCGTTATTTAATTTCATTATTGCGCATAGCACACTTTGTGTTCTTATGGAAGACCAGCGTCGGTGAGCCGTAAGGACTCCCAACACATGCCTTTTTAATGACTAGAATTTGTTTTTATGGTTAACTTTTCTAATGTCTATGTATGCCACTAAATAAATTAATTCTCTTTCTTTTTTTTTTTAAAAAAGACTGGCAACACATCTGCTATGATGTTGTGAGTGCTTATTGGTAGCGATATTCACGTACCATCAGGTGAGTTGCATGCTCGTTTGCCTCCTATATATAAAAAAAAGGAAAAAACACCCACTTGATTTGTGACAAAACCATTCATTTTGATTTAAACACTAGTATAGTAAAAACTATGCTAGTGAACCGATTTCGATAAAATTTCTATGTAATATAATCTGAAAACATATTTATTCAGATAAAAAAAGGATTTTCATTTTTTTTATAGGCGAATCTAGTTTTTAATTTACGCAGCAAAACGTGCCAATTTACGCTGAAGTCTCATCTCGACAAACTCAATTTTTTTTATGCAACTTAGAATGGCAAACAAGCTGACGGATCACCTGATGGAAAGTGGTAACTGTCGCTTATAGACATGAGCAGTACCATGGACTTAACAAACTATAATATATAATTATATATAAACTCAAAATGCAATAGAATAATAAAAAAAAAAGTTACTGATGTGTCGCTAGCACTTGTTCGGCTTTTCTCAGCGACTTTAGACATTTATTGTATTGCGGTGGTTTAATTGCAGGCGCTGATGCTCCATCACTCCCAACCTCGTATGCCAGTGCGCTGGCGCAAACGATCAACAGACACGCGAAGCGATACATTTCTGGTTCTGCCACTGGAAATATATATAATTTCATATAAAAAAAAGGAATGGACAAACATGAAAGTAAAGAAATTAAAATGCTGTTTATAATAGTGCGTTAGAATGGTGAATAGTTTGACGTGCCCGACATTAAGATGTACTCGGGCGTCTCGCCTCGCACTGCGGACCGCAGCTCGCAGAGCCCTTGTAAACATAACATAGTATGATACTCTATGCGCAGCGTACTCACGAACGCTGCGCATAGAGTATTATACTCACTCTGAATAAGACTTCTGGATGAAGTCGAAATAATTGGCGGTAACGTAATAGAAAATAATAACAAACATAGCAAGGCAATAAAATTATAATTATATTAAATATATAATTGTCACATATTTTTCACCACATCTGCGCTACATACGCTTTTTGTTTTTACCTAATGGTTAGCTTGTAGAGAATGCCATTTGGCATTAAGCTCACTATTTGTACAAAGTTTTATTGTGCAATGTCTATTGCACAATAAATAAATAAATAATTTAATAAAATAAAATTATATTTATATTATATTTATATATATATATATATATATATATATATATATATATATATAAAAAATGGACTTAAAGTTAGTTGTTACTTTCAATTAGTTTTACATTAAAACAGAATATACAAATATAAATTTTTAACAAATATTTTAATGAAAGTATAAAATGAGACAATAAATAGGTAATATTAAATTAATATTTTTAACAGACTTACCACTCCAGGAAGTAATTTTACATTTTGATCGAATGGTGTTATATATCATTGTGAATTTGTTATGGATATTATTTCAATAGATGCAGTTGCTTGCAACCTTTGGAGCATTTATTAGCATAATTATATTCATAATTATTACAGCATTTTTTTTAAATAGAAAATGTCACCCCATCCTTTCCCATGGGTGTCGTAAGAGGCGACTAAGGGAACTTAAAGGTAGAGGGATAGGCAGCAACATTCCTCTTAAAACATCACTAAATGTCTGATTGCAGTTGCCAACCCGCATGCCAAGCGTGGCAAGTACTGGTTACACCAATGCCATGGCATTCTCTACCAGTTAACTATTGAATGGTAACCCCGTCTATGCTTTCGGTATACGCTGGCGGGGCACCAGTGATAGATGATGAGGTGAGAATGAAAGCAGGTCTGTTAGCCCATCATGCCGAATTCCACAAGAATTAACCACTATGGTCTCCAGGGGGACCGCGTGGAGGTTGACCTCAGAGGGTATGTTGCTAGCAATGGGACTGTTAGACTCCAATACTAACAATCCCTTCCCCAGACATGTTTAGCCTACACGGCATATATTTGGTTGTAATAGAGTAGCAATTGCAGATGACAGTAAAAAAAAAGAAAATCACACAATGTAACAAATTGATCTTTTTGTTTTATCTTTGCTTCAATAATAGAGCCGTAGGTTACGAACCTCTATCTTTGTTTAATTATAAATATACCCAATTAAAACTATGATATTGTAATTATAAACATGTTAGTTACGCTATATTACAGAATAAGTTTATCAAATTAAAATTTTCACGATCATTATCTTGTAAATCATTTCATATTGTTACGGTCTCTTATATGTAAATAGAGGACACTGAATTATAACTTGTTTAGCTTTATTAAAAATAAATAAATATGTTTAAATTAAAATAATTTATAGTTTGGAATTAAAAAAAAATATATATATACTGAAACGCGCTCCCGCTTGTCGTAAGATCTACCTACTCTAAGCAAGTTAGCTTTTAAACATAAATAGCGCACCTATTGTTTAGAAAAATCACTTTCCCTTATATATATATATATATATATATATATATATATATATATATATATTCCCCGTGGCTTTTATTTAATAAAATTAAAAAAAAAAATTATTTGCAAACATGTGTGCATAGTAGATATAAAGACATACTGGTTATTTATCGATGGATTTGTACAGATCTAACATGTTTTGCTAGGGGGAAAGGGATTTTTAGTAATAGGGTCTAACTGACCCATTCCTAGCAACACATTGTATCAGGTTTACCTCTACGCGTTTCCCCCAGGAAACAATCGTGGTTAATTCTAGTGGAATTCGTCACGATGGGCTAACTGATCTGCTTTCATCGTCACCTAAACATCCCTCACTGGTGCCCCGCCAGCATATATTGTTAGCGCAGGCGGGTTTACCATTCCATGGCTGATAAGTCATTAAAAAAAAAACAAGTTTTGCTAACATTAGCGTGAAAAATGTTCTTCCAAGGACAGTTAACCACTGTTTAGGCTCTAAATGGTCACAAACAAACTCACTTACACATTTATTATATTAGTCTGGATGAGTAGATACTATTTAACACTAGAAAGCTTACCCCGCAAAATTGAATGTTACGTAGTAATGTATCGTTTAACTTAAAATGACTTGAACGAAAGTATTTATTTAACTTTTCACCTTAACGTCTTGTAAATACGTCCTCTATTTCATTACGGAATCATCCCTCTGTCACCCCACGTCAACTGCGGTTAACGTCATTACCATTTTAATGATGCTGATGGATTGCCATCCGGTCTCTGTGCGTCTCAATCTCGGATAGTAATTTTACAGTGATTTAGGTGAGTATTTTAAGATAGAGCCTTACATTACGGATAGGGCATATTTGTACGAGCTGTAAATCAAACTACGAATTTCGACCATACTTTTACGATAGGTGGGTTGTCGAAGAGTAACTATTTTATATACTCTATGGTTTGTTGCAATTAAAAAAAAATGTGAATAATTTACTTTACAATAACACTAACTCATTAGCATCATAAGAGAGGCAACAGACACCTTTCAAGGACATGACCTTCAGTAATAAAGTGGACGAAGAGAGAGAGAGAGAAACACTAACTACTACTAACATGTATTTATAATTCCCATATATAATGTTGCAAATTTTAAATATTTTAATACATATTAGGGTATTGTCTGTAATTGCGACGTTTAGCAGGAGAGTTGGCAGCTGCAGTTTTTTTATGGATGATAATGAAATGGTAACCCCGCCTGCGCTCTCAGTATATGCTTGCGGGGTACCAATGAGGGATGATAGGTAAGGATGTAAAGGCAGGTCAGTTACCCCATCGTGATGAATACACCTGGAATTCAGCACGATGCTCTCCAGGGAGCCACGTCAAGGTCGGTCTGACGGGGTACATTGCTAGCAATGGGACTGTTAGATCGCATTACTAATAATACCTTCTCCCCGTGAGGATGAAATTTTTTTTTACAATTTAAAATGGCAAACAAGCTGACGGCCCACCTGATGGAAAGTGGTAACCGTCGCCTATAGACATGAACAGTACCATGGACATAACAGAGTATACTGTTTCGCCCATGATACCCCCATGCGTTGCCATTCCTGAGGACTCAAGTGTTATTCCTCTGTACCCAGTAAATTCACACAATATCCCACCCTTCAAACCAAAACACACCCATGCAAACACAACTGCTACACGGTTAAAACACGAATGGGACAGAGGTATACAAGCAATTTGAACCAGTATATAGTTATTATAACTAAAATACATACATGGTTATTGCTGTATATTACCCTCCCATATTAAATATTTTAAACTCCTTTTTTGTATATATAATATAGTATATATTATTGTATTATATTATTTTGTTAATTTAGTAAACAATTCAATCACTATATATTATAAAACAAAGACCTCCGTCGCGTCTGTCTGTTCGCGATAAACTCAAAAGCTACTACGCCGATTTCGATGTCGTTGACCGTTCACCAATGGATAGAGTGATTCTCGAGCAAGTGTTTTATAGATAGATAGATAGATACTCATTATTGTTTCCTCCAAAAGATTACAATAGTAATCTTATTATAAATATAAATAATTACAAGAAATAATCACAATGAGAAAACAATGGGCGACCTTATCGCTAAGAGCGATCTCTTTCAGGCAACCTTTGGATGGAGAGAAGTAATTATAAACAATTTGGTGGGAGGCACGATGTTAAGTTTTTATACACATTGACTAAAATATAACCATATTTGTTGGAAGTGTCAAAAAAATAAGCCGTTTGGGAGCTTAGCTAGCTTGGCTTGAGACATTGTATAAAATATAATAGAATTATTAAAATATATAGATATTGCGTTATATTATCCACCCCTACCTACCTAGAACCATTGAGGTCCGATGGTGCCAGAAGATACACATCAATCAGTTACAGCGCGACTGTGGCACCCAGAAGACTAATCGCTGGATCAGTCTACCTGTAGCATTGTCGACTCGATCGGTAATCCTTGTGACCTTGTGACCTCTTTTCTAACAGTTGTCTAATATCCACAGTATCCTTACTTAACTTGGGCCTAGATGGCGCTGTGTGGTATGTTCTACGATATTTATTTATATACCTACTTTTTTTTTTGGTTAAGAGAATCTTCTGTAAAAAATGTTCCAATTTGGCATTTACTACTTTCGGCTTGAGTTAGGCAAATGTCACTTCTGTGATTTGGGTATTAAGAGATATTTGTGTTTCTGAATTCGAATGGGTAATTTTATTTTTATATACGGTATTCTAAATTTTAAATAATAATATAAACTAATATTATAAAGTAGAAAGATTTGATTTTTCAATTGACTTTCGGTTGTTTTTTTTTTACATTTGCTACCTCATAACTCCGTCAGCTGTAAACCGTTTTGTAAAGTTCTCGTTTGAAAGGATATACTTAAAGGTTGGTCCTGTAGAAATATTATCAAAATTGGTTTAGCATTTTGGTTATTAAATCAAAATAATTTGTTTTGTCAAAATTGAAGTCGCTTTTTTTTGGAACGCAATCTTACTTTTATTATTTTGTTATAATTTATAAAATTATTTTACTTATAGAAAGCTACAAATGAAGTACACACAAAGAAAGTATTTGTAACATGGGCTATATTTTATCTTATTTATCTTTATAACTGGTAAATAAAGTCTGCAAAGTCGAGGCGAGCAGCTAGTTTAAGATGTTTCGAGACTGGAGAATCGCAGGAATGTATAATCCTAGGAATA